TGTAATACAAAGTTTATTAGTTCAATATTGTTTATTAATAGCTAATTCAAAACAACTTATTTCTTATTTTATCCAAAATATATATCGGACATAAAAAAAAGTAGATTATATTAATGTTATACAAAAACTTATAATATATATCGGATATTATAAAAGTAAAAGTAAAGTTTATAAGGTATTGACTATATTAGATAGTATCGAAATATAAGTTGATGGATTTTTATGTTATTTGATAATTCGGTTAATGCCCAAAACATGACTAAAAACGTAAATTTCAACATATTTCTATTTTTTCCCATAATTATTTTAACCACTTATGCATTCTTGTGCAACGCGCGAGGTTACGCCTAGTTTATTATAATACTCTGATTTTTCAACAAATGTAATTTAGAACAAACTGTTACAAGATACATTGTCTTCTTTCATCTTTCATATGTTGTTGTTGCTTCTTGATTAGCAGAACTCCCGACTTCGAATATACAATGCATAGCTTTTTGTGTCGGATATCAACTTGCAAAGAATTGCACACAATTTTACCAAAAAAAAACACTTGGAAAATTCCAACCAAAGTCCAAGTTGTCGCAAATCTACCATTGGCATGAATTTTGTTTAAACTTAGGGGTGTTTGAAATTAAATTGTTTATTTAAGGTGTTTATTTGTATATGCGGTTTGGCACTGCTAATAAACAATTTTAAATGTTTGAATTGAAAAAAATTATAAGTATTTATTGACTTAAATAAAGATTTTTGATAAGTGGTTTACTTCTTACTTTTAAAAAATGTTATTAGAATTGAAAACATATTTACCATTTTACCCATATTTTATCCTCAAAAATGTTTTATGTATCATCTTTTTTCCTAATATACCTACATTTTGTTTTATGTATCGTGCTTTTTCTTCTTCTTTGCAGGATTGAGACATGCTTACCAGATATACATTTATATAATTTTTGATGGGTTCACATTTAATAACTTTTAAATATTATTTATTATATAATTTTTTGGTAAAATATATTATTTTAGATGTTATTAATATAAATTTAAGTAAAATTGTTTTTTTTTTTTTGATATTATTGGTTAAATTCTTGTAAAAGATATAACTATATATGATAAAAAAAATTGTTATATATAAGGTAAATAAATAAATAGTATGTAAAGGAAGTTTTTTTTTTCTTTTTAACATTTTACATGTATAAGTTGAACTTGCCAAACACTAAAAAAACAACTTGTCAAATTATTTCGTTTTAGTACCGAATAAACTAATCTAAACATTTTTTAATTAACTATGTTTGGTGTTGCATAAGCTAATAAGCACTTCTTTAAAAAAAATACATAAATTGTTTTAAATAAGGAATCCCTGACACCCCCTTAGGTTGAACAATGTGGTACTATTGAGGTTGGTGTTTGCCGCCAACAATCCAAGCCACACAGGATACCCACAACAAAAACACTTCCACACTGTGCAGTCGTGCAGTCTTATACTTAGGCTGGTGGGTGTGGCATTCGGTTTCCGTTTGGTGAACTCGACGAACACCGGACTGAGGCCTCGGCATGCCGAACTCGGCTCGGCAACTCGGCGAGGATGAACCGATGAGAGAGAGTGTTTTTTTTCTTTTAACCTATTTATTAGTTAAACCTCTTTTTCAAAAATTACCCTCTTTACAAAAAATACCTAATTTCAAAAATATAACCGTTTTTTTTTTCAAAATTTCAAATTTTAAACCCTCAATCTTCAAGTATAAATACCCTCATCCTTATTCACTCTTCACCCTATTCAAATCTCCTTAATTTTATTCTCTTAACTTTTTTATTTTTCCATTATTTTCTACCTTATCACAAAAAATGGCTATTGTTTGATCCACTGAAGAAGAGATCTTACTCGCTCCTTCATGGATCGATGTAGCAGAAGATCCACACCACACTGACTACCTTTCGACTATTTTTTGGAGTAGAGTCGCCGACATATACAATCGCCAAGCCTTCAACCACGAAGAAAAGATCTACTCTACGCCAAATGGAGAAACGCACACAAACTCGCAACTCGGTTTACTATTGTGTTTCGTAGGGTGATGCATGATACCGAAAATGATGAAAACGAAAATACTTTGCTACAGAATGCTCTTGAGGCTTACCGTGTTGAAACTGCCAAAGATTTCAAGCTTGTTGAGTTTTGACAAACTGTGAAGCAGATCCCAAATGGCGGATGTTTGAATTTCTAGTGTGATGTTTCTAAATTTCTAATGTTCTTGTGATATTTTTAATTTCTATGTTTTTTTTTGAATTTTTATGTTTTTTTTATTTCTAATGTGATGTTTTTTTTCTAAGTTTTTAGTGTGATGTTTTTTTTTTTTTGAATTTCTATGTTTGTTTTAATGGAATTTAAGTTTTTTAAAAAATAATATGTTTGCAATATTTATTTTCTAAATTAATTAAAGATAATATATATTTAGCATGACAAATGTGGCAACCCACGCCTAGCAAATGATAGGTTTTGACTAAAGTGTGACAAAAATGACATGACGTCTAGGCGGATTACACCCACCGGCCTTATACACCACTTTTTACATGGCTTTTACAGGTTGTCATTCTCAAATTCCGTAAACGGACTTTAGGTCAAACAAAAGGGTGTCGATCATATTACCGGCCATTTCGAACCAATACAAACCTATATTTGTAGACCATTTCTTGCAGAAATTACTACACATAAATCATTTATTACTTTCATAGATTACCATTCTTGTTACATGTACGTGTATCTAATAAACCAGAAATCTAAATTACTAGAAATGGCATTTAAGGCTATGGTTAAAAATCAACTAAAGTAAAATGAATGCCTATGCCTGTCGACCAAATTTTTACCTTGTGGCACAATACCTTCCTATACTATATAAACACAAACATCATCTACAATATATGCACGTTTTCAAACAAAATCCTATGGATCCCAATATTTGTGCATAGCAGTTAGCACACCCGATTAAGATAAAAAAGTTACGACCTTTTTTTATTTTTCAGCCACTGTAATATAAAAAGATAGTTTTAATGTATTTACCTCAGTTCTTGTACACTCTACCATAATTTATATTCATAAGTTAACTAACTTTCTCTCACATATCATCCCATTCTTCCTCCCTGGTTTGACTAAAAATAAGTAACAAGTTTTCCAGGACAAATAGAGCTTCATAATGACTTTATTACCCAACAACCAACTTCTTCCTGTAACCTATAGTCTGTACACACCAAAAAAAAAAAAACTAGGGTTATGATTGGAAACTTTTTTAGCAGTGTAAAAATAACAAATGAAATATTTTCTTGTTTAAACGCGTCCCCTAAAAAGAATTAATTAACAGAACAGAAAGCTGAGGCAGGGACGCGATCTCTCATTTGTGTAAAAGACATAAATGCCCTTTTCTCGGGAAAGTAAGTGAGTGTACCAGATTGTTTTGGCTTGAAGTTTTGACAAGATCTGACAAGATTTGATGTTCTTCCAATGGTGAAAGATTGTGTTCTGAATCATCTCCTTTCACAAGAAATAACTCGATTTCGTTGGCTTGCATATTGTTCTCATGAGCAACAAACTAATTATAAACATGCATCGGTTAAGGCAGGAAATAGCAACATACTTTCATTGATTTGTTTATTACAAGTTATAAGTTATAACTACTTTTGTTTGGTTTTTCCCTATTATTACAACATTGTACTTTTTGGGATTATAATAAGAAAAAGTGGAAGTACAATGTTGTTAATAGAAAGAAATGACCAAAATATTATATATCAGTTTGTGAAAAGATTAGATGTAGAAAATATGTTTTACCTGAGAGATGTTTGTAGTTGACATGGTGGGCTTGCAGCAAACAAATATAGTCTTCAAATTGGGCATATTTTGCTCATCCAATGATATGAGCTTCAGATGAATTTCCAGCTGGAGAATAGCATATAATCATGAAAAGTTTCGAGTGTTGAATGAAATTTTGGGTATGTTTGGTGTGATGGAATAGAATCACAAAGGAATGGAATACATGATTACATTCCATTATCATGTTTAGTTGGTTTGAAGTTGAAGGAATGAAATGATCAATTCAAAACCTAACTTGCTTACCTTATCATCATTTCTTGGCAGCTTTTGAAGATGATCAATCAGCTTTGAGATATGACCATTCCTCCCAATTTTACCACCACCACTACTTTGACCACCATGTCGCGTATGACTCCGCATTCCACCCCTACCCCATGCCAAAATCTCTGGACAATGTTTTCTAATTCCATCTCTCTCATTGGCATTGGAATCACAGATTCCATTCCCACTGCTTGATTGACCTACTGACCATCTTTTGTACCTTTTGAGTTTGACTTCTGTTGAGGGCTCAGGCTCATCTGTAGATGATGAATATTTGTCTCCATTATCATTATCAGCATCGAGGTCGTTTTCGGAAACTTGGGGTTCAGTGGATTTTTGTCTTTTTCTTCCCCTCAGATTTCTAGGGTTTGACTGTGATCTTCTCATGAAGGCGGTGGCTGTCGCTTTAGCAGTTGCACGTTTTTTTCCTAATGCTTCCAGCTGGCGGCGAGAAGTTTGGGCTATGGATGCTTGGATCTGTCCAAAATTTTACCCAATTATAACATTCTACTTTCATTTTATTTTCTTATAATTATGACAATTGTATTTTCAAAAATCCACACAATTATAGCATTGAAAGTATAATGATGTATTCTAATTAAACCTAGAAATAAAGTTAATCTACACCTGTTTATTCCGAGCTTTTTCCTCTTCATGAAAGGCCAATTCCTGCATCACAGTGAAGAATGAATAGGTAATAGGTTAAATGCAAGTAGTTTCATTGATTTGTTTATTATAGAATTGTATTTCCTTTTTTTTCCTGTTAAAAATCTACCCAATTACAGCAATGTCACCAGAGTTTTAGCAATTTCACTGATATAGAAGGATAGATTTTTCAATTATAAGAAAAAAAAAATGGAAGTACAATGTTGTACCTCTTCCTCATATTTATCAATGTCAGGGTACAAGAGTGCAATCAAGGCATCATAATTAGGATCATCCCTCAAAGATCGGCGGCTTGCACAGTGAGCACGACATGCAGGGCATTCATTGTTCCTGTTGCATATTGGTCAAACAAAGTCAAAGATCATTAAAAAAAACAAAAAACAAAAATCAGATAAGCATTAAAACATTTAAAGTTTCTAATACATACCCAAGTCTCATGGATTTGTCAATGCACTCTCGACAAAATCGGTGAAGACATTCCATAACCTTTCTGGTCTTCCGAATTATACCTATTGATGAAAAGGTAGTGATTAGTGATTACAAGCTTTTTAGGGCTTATTTTGATGATGAGGGTGAGTATGAGGAGGGCATTTACGTCTTTAAAAAGAAGTGAAAGTAGTACCTAAACAAATTGGGCACTGCACTTCCTTGCGAACATCAGCCAATTTTACATAAACAAATCTGTAACACAGTCCAAAAAGAATAAATTACTCAACATTCATAAGAATGTTTGTTGATTGCGTAATATCAATTTGAATACCCTTTTTAAAATTTAAATAATATGACACTTGGAGCAATATTTTGTGTGTGCTTTGAACTATATGCATTTTCAGAAACTGGAAGTGGCTACTTCTCTTTTTTCTGATTTACAGAAGAACAGAGGCATTTTCTATTTCTATTTCTATTTTATTGTTGACTTAGTTACTACATACACCAAGAATCAATCCATTGAGGAACTGCATATATGATTCTAAATATTAGCCCATTTTCTAATAGAAAATGATTGGTCCACAAAATTCCATTGAGGGCTTAGCCCCTCATATATATATGCAAGGACAAATTGTTCTACTCTTAAGTTCTGATACATTCTGGAAGTCAAAGATGAACGTATCCAAATTTAACACTGATAAAAATAATAATATTTAATTCACAAATTACATGTAGATCAGATGAGATTTAGTGGTTTCCATGTTATATCTAGTTCTTCATTGACTTTTCAATAAGTTCTCTTTGTAAAGACAAGTCACACCAGAAAATCAAACTATGCCTTTGTTTAGAAGCTAATGTTTTGATCTTGATGTCAACCAACATGCATAAAAGTACCATCCAAATTCCAGTTTATATTTGTGAAAAAGACGATCACAACCAATTTCCTCAGACAAAACACACCTAATTTTGAAATATAAAAAATATGAATTTAAAAATGGATTTGGAGAAGCAATCAGAGGGATGTGCAGATAGCTACGGAATTTCCTTACACTGTTCGCTTTTTGACATCCAACTACTACTCTACCAGAAGTAAGCAGCACCGATAGGGTAAATCACCATTTAGTGAGACTAATAACTCAAATTCAAATAAAAAAAACATGCACATCTTCAATCGCAAGTGACTATACGAACAGTTAAAAGCACGCTGATCAAATTAACAATCACAATACAAACTCAAACAGAAACATAGGGCAAGTTATCTTTGTATATATAGATAGAAATAGAAAGAGAGAAGGCGAACACACTCGTCTTTGTCGCTGCTACTAGAGGAAGGGCTTCCATCGTCATCCGACTCTGCTGATCAAGCAAACCAAAATTCAAGTAATAAACACGAATGCGGATCAGTAAACCACGTAATTCGAACGTATAACTACTAAAATCAGAAATAGTTTACGAACAAACCTTGTCCCTCTTGTTCTACGTCGTCTTCTTCGGATTCTCCGGAAATGTTCTGATTAGTACGTTGCAGCTCAACATCATCCTCATCTCCGGACAGAGAATCATCCGAATGCTTTTGAATAGGCATTTACTCTACACGCCGCCGGTAGAACCACCGAACGATATTGAGAGAGAGAGAGAGAGAGAGAGAGAGAGAGTTGTGATACGCCGAATTAGCCTTTTGTATTACAATCAGAATGTTGGATTTTCCCAATTTCTACCCTCGACTTACGTGATAAATCATAAACGAGAGACACGCATGCATTTTTCGGGTTAAATGTGTAATTTTATATATATAAATTATTTTTTTGTATTTTCACATTTACTGCCCATTTAACATTCCCGTACCAAATCATGGTTGTGGTCTATCGTAGTCAATAAAAGTGTAAAATTGGGGCAAAACATTTCATTAAAATTGGGGCAAACATTTCATGGAAAGTAATGAAAGAAAAAAAAAAAAGACAAAACTTCAAAAATGGTCCCTGTAGTTTCCGAAAATATCAAGTTTAGTCCCTAAGTTCAAAAAACCTCACAAATGGTCCCTGTGGTTTCAAAACTTTTAACAAATGGTCCTTCCGCCTAACTCCGTCAGCTTTCTACCGTTAAGTGAGGGACATTTTTGTCATTTCAATACACAGGGACCATTTATGAGGTTTTCTCTATTTAAAAAAAAAGACAAAAAAATATAATTATTTAATTAAAGGGCCCCACACACACACACACTCTCTCTCTCTCTTTCTCTCTCTCTCTCTCTCTCTCTCCACCGTATACCCCCACCTCCTTCTCCTTTTTCTTTTTACCCAAGATGAACACTTCATCTTCTTCGTCTCTTCCTTCTTAATCAAAATTCCACATCTACCCACCAATCAGTTATATTCGATGCTAGTAATACCAACAAACCCGGATTTCACGAACTCAATCTGGGTTCCCCTGTTTCCCCCTTACGACCTGGACCAGTGGTAATCGACCCACCATCTTCTCCATACGACGACAGTATGTGGTGGTTATGTATGGCGGTTGTGGCGGCAGTGTGCAGCAGCGCTGCTCTGGGGCTTCTGCTAGTTCTTTTCTGCCTAATCTCGACGGGAAAGATGAGCGGGGGGAGGGGAGAAGCCTGTTGGTGGTCGGTCGACACTTACGGTAGCGGGGATTGGTGTTGCTCGTCGATACAGAGAGAAAGACGAAGTGGCAACCGGTGTTTCTTGGCGGAGGTGATGGCATGTGGATGTTGGAGTGGAGGCAATAGGTGGAAGGAAGCAGTGGTGTCGGGGTGTTTGATGGTGGTGGGTCACGACAGGAGGAGGCGGAGAGGCTGCTACAG